TCCCTGAACTCTGGTATCTGTTCAAGTTAGCTTCGGCCAGAATGGCTTTGTCCAGTACTCCAGCGTAAGTCGGCATGTTGAGCATGTTAACTCGGTCTTGTATCGGTCCACGCAGCCCACTTTCGAATTTCCTAGCCTTCATATTGTAATAACCCACATTCTTGCCTTAGTCATGTTTATGTACATTTGCATGATTTTGTCTTGTTAAGCTTGCATTTGTAGACTTAGACATATTTTGCCTAGGTAAGGGTTCATTGTTCATGGTTGGTTTAGTGTATTTCTACTGGGTTGTGGCTCACCCTATATGGGAATATCATTTTCAGGTACAGGTAGCATGCCACCTCCAAGGACATAGCTTGGGAGGCTAGAGGCGGACATACTTTTGTCGTTTTATTTTTGATGTATTACATGTAAATTCAAGCCAAGGGCTAAATATGTAAATGAGTTAGTACTCTTTTGTTGTAACCAAGTGTTAACTTGGAAAGCTGTAAGCCCGTAGGGGCATTTTGCTTTTGTTGTTAACATGTAATACTTTTGTAATGAAACTCTGATGAATGTAAGGTTGTGGGACTTTTATATATCAATGCATATTTATTTGATGGGTTTAATGTAGTTATTTTGAGGGCATTACAGTCTTGTCTTGTCAATCTATCACCTTTTTGAGGAGAACCAACCAGCCGTTGCCACGTGTCCGAGCTGAGTGTTAAGTCAGCCGATAGAGAGAGAAAACCTATCATTTGTTATATCTTTGTTTTGAAGAGGAGATAGAAGCTCTAGGTGAGAAAGAGGAGTTCTTGAGAGGAGGTAGATTTCCAAGCTTGATCCCTAGAGATCGAATCGTTAGATCCGTGTTCTAAGGTTAGATTCTTAATCTACTCATGTTGTTCTTTATGTTCATGTTATTTCATTGCATGATTGAATATGATTTGTAAGCCATGCATTGCTTTGAAGTTCGGTTTTAGAAAGAGGAAATAGTATTTATGTGTTCTTCAAGAAAAGTCATGTTTTGATCCGAAACCTCATGCCAAGATCCATGTTTTTGTGTTTGTTTTCACATGATCTTCAAGTATGGGTACCCAGGTCCATGTTTTCGAACTCATAGCATGAAATCCCAGATTTTGTAATAAAGAAGTTATGATTTTAGCATTCATATTCTTCATGGTCTTCATGTTCATGTTCTTCATGTTCTTCACGGGTGGAAACCCAGATCTCCAGACTTCACTTCCCTAAGTGTAGTCGTCGAGATTACTCTTGCCTAGATCACACACTTAGGCCAAGCATCGTATCTCACCTTGGCCTACCTTGCATGATCACTTACACCTTTAGTTTGTCTTGGGCGCACCTCGGCATGCAGCCGCACGCCGAAGCCTAGGTAGCCACACCTCGGCCAGGAGGTGTGGGACCTCGGCAAAGACCTGGTTGGTACCCAGCATGTCCTCCTGACATGTAAAATAGTGTTTTGACTTCCAGTATGTTTTCCCGAGATCATTTGCATGTATGTAAGACCTGTTTTGAGAAGTGCATTCAGTAGACTTTGCCATGTGTTTGTAGGACTTGGACCTTTGCTTTGATCTCGACGTCCCAAGAACTATGTGAGTGGTATTTCTAATAAAGCTATGTTATACATTTTGATAAAGACTTTGCTTTGCTTTGTTTTGAAAGTATTTGTTACCCATGAATGATTACCCCTATTTTTATGTATCAAGTAAGCTTTGTTTTGATGACATTCTCGGAAAGTCCTTAGTGCCAGGGGACTATAATGCAACTGCACATCTTGTTTTGACCTGGTGTTTGACAATGATTGTGTGATTACTGATAGGAGCCCTTATGTGGCTCAATATCAAGTCAGCTTAGGAATTTGCTTTAGGGTTTAAATATTGCAAGTGAACTTAAACAAGTTGTGCAACTTGTTACTAATGATAAACTTGATCTGGGCTGTGCATTGATTGAACAAGCTGCAACAGAAAATGTTAGATTGCTTTCTATTTTCTAGTCCTTTGTGCTAGAGGACTCTAAACTTTTGTAGCACCTTTGTTTGAGACAGCTCCCTTGCTTTGTCTTGTTTTGCCACTGACGGTTTACCGCGTGGGTCTTGTAAGTCCAGAATGTCATCCCTTGTATTATGTAGATGCTATTAACATCCAAAGTAAGTAAGTAAGTAAGTTTTGTAAGATCAAGTTGATGAACTAGATTCATCCCACGTTTTGTACAAGCTATGATATGTATGTTTTGCAAAGACCTCGGGAATCATTCATTTAACCCCTTTATTACTTATACCATTCACTGAGTATCCAAGATCACCCTCCTTATGTATATATGTGGGTAACAAGCAAGAAGTCGGCTACGCCGAGATGTGTGTTTTGTATGTATGTTATGTCGACAGTGAGGATGTCGGCAATCTGGAAGATTATGTTTCTTGACTTGTATTTCATGTGTTTTGTTCATGTCGGCTCGAGAAGCCTTCTATCAAGATGTAATATGTATTTTTGTACTTCATTTTAATTGTATTCAAGTTTTAAAGCTATGTAAAGATGTATGCTATTTCATTTGATTTACGCACTGCTCTTATGGACCACTTGTATTGTAAATTATTGCTTCCGCACTTGTTAGCCCCATATGTAATACTCTGATTGTGTGTGAATTTTGAAAGTTGGCCTTCGGTAATCTCGGATTACTAGCCATCACGGAACCAAACTACTAGGGGCGGTTTGGGGTCGTGACACTAGCAGCCATGGCAGCCACAATGGACCGAGCAATGGAAGAGCAATGACACAAGGGGAAATAAATCCGATCAAGCAGCGGCACACAAAGCTCCTCCTCTTCCACTCCGATCAAACAGCAGCAGCGGCGGAACACAGAGACGGTTCTGCTAGGTTTTAGGAAGACACGGTGCTCATCTCTCTCTATTCTTTGCTCTATTCTTTCTTTTTTTTTTTTTTGGGTTTGTTTTTGAAATGAAAAGTGTGGGTGTATTGCACAGTAGCAGCAAGTTGAGTGCAAAACTGAATTCGAGCCATTTCGAGCCATCACTTTTTGTATGTAACTTGTGTGCTTGACATATATGAATCAACTTTGACCATATAGTGTCCATAACACTCTGCAAAGAGTGATT